TCATTAAGTACTTCATCTCTTATTCTGTATCCTGTGTCTGGCCACCTGTTTCCACTGCCTAGTTTCATTACTTTGCATTTACTCGGGTTGGACTTCAACAGCCATTTGTTGGACCATTCACTCAGTCTGTCTAGGTCATCTTGTAGCCTCCTACTATCATCCTCTGTTTCAATCCTCCTCATAATTTTTGCATCATCAGCAAACATTCAGAGAAATGTTTCTCTACCCTCTGGGAGATTATTTACATATATCCGAAACAGTATAGGTCCAAGGAGTGACCCCTGCGGGACTCCACTTGTAACGTCTCGCCAATCTGAGACCTCACCCCTCACACTGACTCGTTGTCTCCTGTTGCTAAGGTACTCCTTTATCCAATGGAGTACCTTCCCTTTCACACCGGCCTGCATCTCCAGCTTTTTCACTAGCCTCTTGTGTGGTACTGTATCAAAGGCGTTCTGACAATCCAAAAATATGCAGTCTGCCCACCCTTCTCTTTCTTGCCAGGTCGTAGAATTCAAGTAACCCTGTGAGGCAGGACCTGCCATCCTTGAACCCATGTTGATGCTGTGTTACAAAGTTCTTTCGCTCCACATGTTCCACTAGCTTTCTTCGCACAATCTTCTCCATCAGCTTGCATGGTATGCAAGTTAGGGACACTGGCCTGTAGTTCAGTGCCTCCTGTCTATCCCCTTTCTTGTATATCGGGACTACGTTAGATGCTTTCCAAATTTCTGGCAGTTCCCCTGTTGCCAGTGATTTGTTGTACACTATGGAGAGTGGCAGGCACAGTTCTTCTGCTCCTTCCTTTAGTATCCAAGGGGAGATTCCCTCTGGGCCTATAGCCTTTGTCTCATCCAACTCTAGTAAACACTTCCTTACTTCCCCGCTGGTAATCTCAAACTCTTCCAGTGGTTCCTGGTTAGCTATTCCCTCTCTTATCTCTGGGATTTCTCCTTGCTGTAAGGTGAAGACCTCCTGGAATTTCTTATTCAGTTCCTCACACACACTTCCTTGTCGTTTTTAGTGAATCCTTCTAGTGAATCCAGTGTGGCCCCATTGGTACTGAGGATGGCCAGTGTGGCCCCACGGGTACTGAGGTTGGCCAGTAGGGGCCCACGGGTATTGAGGATGGCCAGTGTGGCCCCACGGGTATTGAGGATGGCTAGTGTGGCCCCACGGGTATTGAGGTTGGCCAGTGTGGCCCCACGGGTATTGAGGATGGCCAGTGTGGCCCCACGGGTATTGAGGATGGCTAGTGTGGCCCCACGGGTATTGAGGTTGGCCAGTGTGGCCCCACGGGTACTGAGGATGGCCAGTGTGGCCCCACGGGTATTGAGGATGGCCAGTGTGGCCCCACGGGTACTGAGGATGGCCAGTGTGGCCCCACGGGTACTGAGAATGGCCCCCACGGGTACTGAGGATGGCCTGTGTGGCCCCACGGGTACTGAGGATGGAGTGGCCCCACGGGTACTGAGGATGGCCAGTGTGGCCCCACGGGTACTGAGGATGGCCAGTGTGGCCCCACGGGTACTGAGGATGGCCAGTGTGGCCCCACGGGTACTGAGGATGGCCAGTGTGGCCCCACGGGTACTGAGGATGTGTGGCCCCACGGGTACTGAGGATGGCCAGTGTGGCCCACGGGATGGCCGGTGTACTGACGGGATGGCCAGTGTGGCCCCACGGGTACTGAGGATGGCCAGTGTGGCCCCCACGGGTACTGAGGATGGCCAGTATGGCCCCACGGGTACTGAGGATGGCCAGTGTGGCCCCACGGGATGGCCAGTGTGGCCCCACGGGATGGCCAGTGTGGCCCGTCGGGATGGCCAGTGTGGCCCCACGGGATGGCCAGTGTGGCCCCACGGGTACTGAGGATGGCCAGTGTGGCCCCACGGGTACTGAGGATGGCCAGTGTGGCCCCACGGGTACTGAGGATGGCCAGTGTGGCCCCACGGGTACTGAGGATGGCCAGTGTGGCCCCACGGGTACTGAGGATGGCCAGTGTGGCCCACGGGTACTGAGGATGGCCAGTGTGGCCCCACGGGTACTGAGGATGGCCAGTGTGGCCCCACGGGTACTGAGGATGGCCAGTGTGGCCCCACGGGATGGCCAGTGTGGCCCCACGGGTACTGAGGATGGCCAGTGTGGCCCCACGGGATGGCCAGTGTGGCCATCATCAGTACCCGTGGGGCCACAATATAAATACTGATCATTAACTTTTAAAATAACTCGCCACTGCTAGGATGCCTGTTAGGCTTATCGCGGTCCCCGGGGCGAGGCTGTCCGCGCGGTCACCTAACTAGTTACTGGCCATGGCCACCGGCGGTTAACCAAGTGACGGAGTGGCGACCGCATTAAGAAAGTTTGAGATGGTATTTTATCCCACTGCGCCATACTAGGTGTTGTAGTGTGGCAGATATTGCTCTTACTCCTGTCTCATCTCTATGTGTTCCCGGGTGCTGAAGACAGCATCAACAGCACCTACTTCCTCATACTTCAAGTCAACACCAACACTCCAGGCCAGTCATTACTATATCTTCCGGTGCTCTTAACACTCACACGAGAGAAGCACTTGACATCACTCTCTTCTTAAGGTGATGTCAGGCAGCACGTCTGTTCTTACGGTGATGTACTCATCAACAAGGTGAGCACATCACCATTGGAAGAGAGAGAAGCGCATATATGCCATCACCTTAACAAGAGACGTGCGGCATAATCACACTTGTACACCCAAACAACACAATTATTCACTCTCCCAACCATGAGAGTGCACAGCCCGTCCTCACAAAGGCCAAAGTCCATTCCATGCACCCGCCAAACCTCCTGTTTAAGATTGATAAACTGTTTACACACGACTCAACTGATTTCGTCCGAACACTTCCGGAAAATTGCTTCGCTGACGACTTTTGTTCGAACCACAACGCTGTAAATGCTTCACCCACATACTACAATTTCAAAAAATCGGCAACAGAACCTGAACCCTTAAACTAACCAGTGCCTAAATATGCAAAATATGTTCATATATAATAATATTAATTTATATTTGAGAAAAGTTCTGTTTTGAATGAAAAGCATATTAAAATTATTGAATGCGTCTTTGGAGGTCGACCGCTGGAAGGAATGACCTTGGTCAGAGGACAGGTTGCTATAAATGCTTCATGTAGGGAAAATGAATTGTGGGATTTTTTAATTTTAATTACCAGTATTAATTAATGTATTAATAAATTAATTATAATCAAGTTCATTTATTAATTCATTTATTTCGATAGCGGACTATGATTCTGAAGTGAACTGCATGCTATTAAAGTTTCCCACAGGTAGCTTTCTACACAAGTTAGGGGGGAGTAATCACAGCCTAACAAATCGAAACTAATCGATAAGTAGAAATTATCTAACAAAGGTTAGTCTACAATGATTAGTAAATGAAAGTACAGCTTATCTGTTATGTTAAATGCAGCCTGGTCAACCAGTCTTGGACACGAATGCAGCCTGGTCAACCAGCCTTGGACACGAATGCAGCCTGGTCAACCAGCCTTGGACACGAATGCAGCCTGGTCAACCAGCCTTGGACACGAATGCAGCCTGGTCAACCAGCCTTGGACACGAATGCAGCCTGGTCAACCAGCCTTGGACACGAAAGATCACGGGAAGTGGTGCTCTTGGTGGGTCCGGCTATAGCATCATCAGGTGTAGTAAAGTAATAAAGCCTAACTAATATATGACGGCTATATCAGGGGAAATAATTATTCTATTTAACTAATTGTGGCTTACCCGTTCCGGGTGGCTCGTCCAGCAGCCTAACTAACCACTTGACACAACATAAGAATATGATCATAAACCTATATTAATAATTGCCAACAAAGGTATTGAACACTTCCCTATGGACTAGTAAAGACGTGTAGATGATGGGAGACTTGGGCGTCCCTCAACACGTGAACTAGAGGGAAATATCTGTGGAGCGAGCGAGCGTCCTCGCGGGCACGACTGTGGTGATGTTGACAACATGGCGGCTCCCTCCTGCCCCCGATCAAAGACGCGTCGATAAGCGGTTCAAATTCTACCTTTTTTATGTCTTATGATCTTTGTTTGGAGGACAGGCTGTAGTGTGAGGACGGGTTGTCTCAGACCAAGTCCATTCCCAGCCCGTCCTCCAAACAAAGATCCAAAAGTGAGTCCATGCACCCGCCAAACCCCCTGTTTATGAATGAAAAGCGGGTTACACACGACACACAACTGCTGACGTTCGAACATCTCCGGAACAAGTGTTTCACTGACGAATTTTGTTCGAACCACAACGCTACAAATGCTTCACCCACGTACTACAAATACAAATAATCGCCAACAGAACCTAAACACCTAACCTAACCTAACCTAACCTATGCCTATATATACACAATATGCTAATATATTATAATATTAATTTATACTTGAGAAAATTCCCGTTTTGAATGAACAGCATATTAAAATTTATGAATGCGTCTGTGGGGTCGACCGCTGGATGTAATGGACTTGAGTCGAGGACGGGTTGCCATTCCATCCAGCGAGACGCATTCATCAATTTTAACATGCTGTTCCTTTAAAATAGGAATTTTCTCAAATATAAATTAATATTGATATATATATATATATATATATATATATATATATATATATATATATATATATATATATATATATATATATATATATATATATATATATATTAACATATTGTGCATCTTTAGGCACAGGTTAGGTTAGATGTTGAGGTTCTTTTGGCGATTATTTGTATTTGTAATACGTGGGTGAAGCATTTATAAATTGTGGTTCGAACAGGACGTGAGCGAAGCACTTGTTCAGGAAGTGTTCGGACGTCAGCAGTTGTGAGTCGTGTGTATATCGCTTTTCATTCATAAACAGGGGTTTGGTGGCTGGATTAACGAGCTTGGGCCTTTGTATGCGAGGATGGGTTGTCTGAGGACGGGTTGGAGCGAGAGCCAGACCTGAACGTCAACACGCTAATAATGACATCACAGCAAAGAACCCCAGGCCCATCACCACGAGAGCTCTCCTCGGCCCATCACCACGAGAGCTCTCCTCGGCCCATCACCACGAGAACTCTCCTCGGCCCATCACCACGAGAGCTCTCCTCGGCCCATCACCACGAGAGCTCTCCTCGGCCCATCACCACAAGAGTTCTCCTCGGCCAATCACCACAAGAGTTCTCCTCGGCCCATCACCACAAGAGTTCTCCTCGGCCCATCACCACAAGAGTTCTCCTCGGCCCATCACCACGAGAGCTCTCCTCGGCCCATCACCACAAGAGTTCTCCTCGGCCAATCACCACAAGAGTTCTCCTCGGCCCATCACCACAAGAGTTCTCCTCGGCCCATCACCACAAGAGTTCTCCTCGGCCCATCACCACTAGAGTTCTCCTCGGCCCATCACCACGAGAGTTCTCCTCGGCCCATCACCACGAGAGCTCTCCTCGGCCCATCACCACGAGAGCTCTCCTCGGCCCATCACCACGAGAGCTCTCCTCGGCCCATCACCACAAGAGCTCTCCTCGGCCCATCACCACAAGAGTTCTCCTCGGCCCATCACCACAAGAGTTCTCCTCGGCCAATCACCACAAGAGTTCTCCTCGGCCCATCACCACAAGAGTTCTCCTCGGCCCATCACCACAAGAGTTCTCCTCGGCCCATCACCACAAGAGCTCTCCTCGGCCCATCACCACAAGAGCTCTCCTCGGCCCATCACCACAAGAGCTCTCCTCGGCCCATCACCACAAGAGCTCTCCTCGGCCCATCACCACAAGAGCTCTCCTCGGCCCATCACCACAAGAGCTCTCCTCGGCCCATCACCACAAGAGCTCTCCTCGGCCCATCACCACAAGAGCTCTCGTCGGCCCATCACCACAAGAGCTCTCCTCGGCCCATCACCACAAGAGCTCTCCTCGGCCCATCACCACGAGAGCTCTCCTCGGCCCATCACCACGAGAGCTCTCCTCGGCCCATCACCACGAGAGCTCTCCTCGGCCCATCACCACGAGAACTCTCCTCGGCCCATCACCACAAGAGTTCTCCTCGGCCCATCACCACAAGAGTTCTCCTCGGCCCATCACCAGGAGAGCTCTCCTCGGCCCATCACCACGAGAGCTCTCCTCGGCCCATCACCAGGAGAGCTCTCCTCGGCCCATCACCAGGAGAGCTCTCCTCGGCCCATCACCACAAGAGTTCTCCTCGGCCCATCACCAGGAGAGCTCTCCTCGGCCCATCACCAGGAGAGCTCTCCTCGGCCCATCACCAGGAGAGCTCTCCTCGGCCCATCACCAGGAGAGCTCTCCTCGGCCCATCACCAGGAGAGCTCTCCTCGGCCCATCACCAGGAGAGCTCTCCTCGGCCCATCACCACGAGAGCTCTCCTCGGCCCATCACCAGGAGAGCTCTCCTCGGCCCATCACCAGGAGAGCTCTCCTCGGCCCATCACCACAAGAGTTCTCCTCGGCCCATCACCAGGAGAGCTCTCCTCGGCCCATCACCAGGAGAGCTCTCCTCGGCCCATCACCAGGAGAGCTCTCCTCGGCCCATCACCAGGAGAGCTCTCCTCGGCCCATCACCAGGAGAGCTCTCCTCGGCCCATCACCAGGAGAGCTCTCCTCGGCCCATCACCACGAGAGCTCTCCTCGGCCCATCACCAGGAGAGCTCTCCTCGGCCCATCACCAGGAGAGCTCTCCTCGGCCCATCACCACAAGAGCTCTCCTCGGCCCATCACCACGAGAGCTCTCCTCGGCCCATCACCACGAGAGCTCTCCTCGGCCCATCACCACGAGAGCTCTCCTCGGCCCATCACCACGAGAGCTCTCCTCGGCCCATCACCTCACATAGTGTGGGCAGCACCTGACCTCCAAGGTATGTAAAGCAGTTTCTTATTATTTCTAAGAAAGGAACTATCAGAGGAAAGTGCCAAGCCATTAGAGGTCAGGATAAGGATTAGGGATGGGACAGTGGGGTAGGAATGGTGCCCAACCACTTGGGCGGTCGGGGATTGAACGCCGACCCGCATGAAGCTCACCAGTACACAGTAACACCAGTACACACAGTAACACCAGCACACAGTAACACCAGCACACAGTAACACTAACACACCAGCACACCAGTACACACAGTAACACCAGCACACATAAATGAAAATGAAACTAAAATAAATGGCATGATCTCGGATGCAATCTTTCCAGAGGGGTACCAGGTGATAAGAAAAGAAAGGACACAGAGACAGGGAGGAGGAGTGGCACTACTAATAAAGCGGAAATGGAAGTTTGATGAGCTGGAAAATCCGGGTACCAATGAAAGCACAAGCTTCATACATGGAACTCTGACAGTGGATGGGAAGAAGATTGTAATCTTGATACTCTACAATCCCCCACCAAACAGTAGAAGGCCCAGGCAGGAGTACGAGGACAGCAACAAGACATGTATGGATGAACTGCAGAGGGCAGCAACTTTAGCGCATAGAATGAGAGCGAAGCTGCTGGTCATGGGGGACCTAAATCACGGAGAGATAGATTGGGAAACGAGGAATCCCCATGGCGGGGAGGAGACCTGGGGAGCGAAGCTGGTAGACGTTATTGACAGGAATTTCCTAACACAGCATGTGAAAGAAGATACTAGGGAAAGAGGAGGGGATACGCCCAGCCTATTAGATCTCATTATCACTCAGAATGTAGAAGACATCGAGCAGTTGGAACATGAAATACCACTAGGAGCTAGTGACCATTGTGTCCTAGTCTTTGACTACATGATGGAGCTTAAAATTGTGACCAAAGGACAAGAGGTCCGGGAAAGGAGACTTGATTACAGAAAAGGGGACTACAGAAGGATAAGGGACTACCTGGGAGAAGTGAAGTGGGAGGAAGAACTTAGAGGAAAAACAGTGCAAGGTATGATGAACCAAGTCATATTGAAATGCAAGGAGGCTGAAGATAGATTTATTCCAACAATAAAGGAAAAAAGCAGGAGGGAATATAATAACCCATGGTTTAATAGACAGTGTCAGGAAGCAAAGGTGAGAAGCAGGAGGGAGTGGAGGAAGTACAGAAGACAAAGGACAGAGGACAACAGGATTAGATGTAACAGAGCTAGGAATGATTACATTAACATAAGACGAGTGTCGGAAAGAAATTATGAGAACGATATTGCAGTCAAAGCGAAAAAGCAACCAAAATTACTACATAGCCATATAAGAAGGAAGATGTCGGTAAATGACCAAGTGACAAGACTGAGGAAAACAGAAGGGGCATATACAGAAAGCGACAAGGAAATCTGCGAGGTACTGAATGCAAAATTCCATGGAGTGTTCACAACCGAGCCTGAGCAGCTCCCATTCTTAGAAGAGATTACCCAAGATGAAAGACTACCAGATATAGAGGTGACAGCAGAGGATGTAATGAAACAGTTGACAACACTGGATGCAAATAAAGCTGTTGGACCAGACAAAGTATCACCGTGGATACTTAAAGAGGCAGCGCAGGCTCTCAGCGTGCCTCTGGCAATGATCTTTAATGAGTCACTTATGTCGGGAGAATTGCCCAGTTGCTGGAAGGAGGCAAATGTCGTACCGATTTTCAAAAAGGGTGATAGGGAGGAGGCACTTAACTACAGACCCGTATCACTGACAAGCATCCCCTGCAAAATACTTGAAAGAATAATTAGGCTAAGACTTGTTGAGCACCTGGAGAGCATTGGGTTTGTAAACAAGCACCAACATGGGTTCTGGACAGGGAAATCATGGCTAACAAACCTTTAAGAATTCTATGATAAAGTAACAAGGATAAGGCAGGACAGAGAAGGCTGGGCAGACTGCATATTTCTTGACTGCCAAAAGGCCTTTCATACGGTACCGCACATGAGACTGCTATACAAACTTGAGAGGCAGGCAGGAGTAAGCGGAAAGGCCCTAGTATGGGTGAAGAACTACCTAACAGGAAGGAGCCAGAGGGTAATGGTAAGGGGCGAAAAGTCGGACTGGCGAACAGTAACAAGTGGAGTACCTCAAGGATCGGTGCTGGGACCAATCCTCTTTCTAATTTACGTAAATGATATGTTTACAGGAGTGGAATCATACATGTCAATGTTTGCAGATGACGCAAAATTAATGAGAAGAGTTGTGACAGACGAGGATTGTAGGATCCTCCAAGAGGACTTAAACAGGCTGCAGAGATAGTCAGGGAAATGGCTACTGGAGTTTAACACCAGTAAATGTAAAGTTATGGAAATGGGATCAGGTGACAGGAGACCAAAGGGACAGTACACAATGAAGGGGAACAGCCTACCTGTAACGATTCGAGAAAGAGACCTGGGAGTGGATGTGACACCTAATCTAACTCCTGAGGCACATATAAATAGGATAACGACAGCAGCGTACTCTACACTGGCGAAAATTAGAACTTCATTCAGAAACCTAAATGAGGAAGCTTTTAGGGCGCTTTACACTGCCTACGTGAGACCCGTCTTAGAGTATGCCGCGCCATCATGGAGCTCCCACCTGAAGAAACACATAAAGAAACTGGAGAAGGTTCAGAGGTTTGCGACGAGGCTTGTCCCAGAGCTACGACGGATGGGATATGAAGAGCGGCTGAAGGAACTGAACCTTACGACACTAGAGAAAAGAAGGGAGAGAGGAGATATGATAGGGACATATAAAATACTCAGGGGAATTGACAAAGTGGAAATAGATGAAATGTTCACACGTAATAATAACAGAACGAGGGGACATGGGTGGAAACTGGAAACTCAGATGAGTCACAGAGATGTTAGGAAGTTTTCTTTTAGCGTGAGAGTAGTAGAAAAATGGAATGCACTTGGGGAACAGGTTGTGGAAGCAAATACTATTCATACTTTTAAAACTAGGTATGATAGGGAAATGGGACAGGAGTCATTGCTGTAAACAACCGATAGCTAGAAAGGCGGGATCCAAGAGTCAATGCTCGATCCTGCAAGCACATATAGGTGAGTACATATAGGTGAGTACACACAGTAACACCAGCACACACAGTAACACCAGCACACACAGTAACACCAGAACACCAGCACACACAGTAACACCAGAACACCAGCACACACAGTAACACCAGCACACACAGTAACACCAGCACACACAGTAACACCAGCACACACAGTAACACCAGCACACACAGTAACACCAGCACACAGTAACACCAGCACACACAGTAACACCAGCACACACAGTAACACCAGCACACACAGTAACACCAGCACACACAGTAACACCAGCACACAGTAACACCAGCACACCAGCACACACAGTAACACCAGCACACACAGTAACACCAGCACACACAGTAACACCAGCACACAGTAACACCAGCACACCAGCACACACAGTAACACCAGCACACACAGTAATACCAGCACACACAGTAACACCAGCACACACAGTAACACCAGCACACACAGTAACACCAGCACACACAGTAACACCAGCACACAGTAACACCAGCACACCAGCACACACAGTAACACCAGCACACACAGTAACACCAGCATACACAGTAACACCAGAACACCAGCACACACAGTAACACCAGAACACCAGCACACACAGTAACACCAGCACACACAGTAACACCAGCACACACAGTAACACCAGCACACACAGTAACACCAGCACACAGTAACACCAGCACACACAGTAACACCAGAACACCAGCACACACAGTAACACCAGCACACACAGCTGGCAACATTAACACCAGCACACACCAGTAACACCAGAACACCAGCACACACAGTAACACCAGCACACAGCACAAACACCAGGCACACAGTAACACCAGCACACACAGCAACATCCACACCAGCACACACAGTAACAACAGCACACACCAGCAACACCAGCACACACAGTAACACCAGCACACACAGTAACACCAGCACACACAGTAACACCAGCACACAGTAACACCAGCACACCACCTACACACAGTAACACCAGCACACACAGTAACACCAGCACACACAGTAACACCAGCACACAGTAACACCAGCACACACAGCACACACAGTACACACACCAGCACACACAGTAACACCACACACCAGCACACACAGTAACACCAGCACACACAGTAACACCAGCACACACAGTAACACCATTCCACACCAGCACACACAGTAACACCAGAACACCAGCACACACAGTAACACCAGCACACACAGTAACACCAGCACACACAGTAACACCAGCACACACAGTAACACCAGCACACACAGTAACACCAGAACACCAGCACACACAGTGGCACACCACCACACCAGCACACACAGTAACACCAGCACACACAGTAACACCAGCACACACAGTAACACCAGCACACAGTAACACCAGCACACCAGCACACACAGTAACACCAGCACACACAGTAACACCAGCACACACAGTAACACCACCACACACAGTAACACCAGCACACCACACATACAGTAACACCAGCACACACAGTAACACCAGCACACACAGTAACACCAGCACACACAGTAACACCACACACAGTAACACCAGCACACCAGCACACACAGTAACACCACCACACACAGTAACACCAGCACACACAGTAACACCAGCACACACAGTAACACCTGCACACAGTAACACCAGCACACCAGCACACACAGTAACACCAGCACACACAGTAACACCAGCACACACAGGCAACACCAGCACACACAGCACACACACCAGCACACACAGTAACACCAGCACACACAGTAACACCAGCACACCAGCACACACAGTAACACCAGCACACCAGTACACACAGTAACACCAGCACACACAGTAACACCAGCACACAGTAACACCAGCACAC